CTGACTGTCACTGCAGGAGCATCCCAGGAAATCTTGAGGCTGGTTGGGCTGGTAGGGGTGACTTCCAAGTCCCTTGGAACATCAGACACTAGAGTAACAGAGAATTGAGAAGGGAGTTTAAACACAGTTATACATCAGCTACATACTGCACTTATACCATGCTCCTCTGCTACTGATCTGTCTGTCCTTTGGCTCAGGGCACACTCCTCTCCAAAAAGACCTGTCTGGTTAAAAAACACATGGCATTGGACTGGATTTAATGAAAATAGTTCTGCTGGCCCTAGAAAACATCTGAAAGCAGCATGGGTCCTCCCAGCTTTTTTCTAAATCAGGCCCTACCTCAGTACACAGGCATTTCCTCATGAGTGAAGCTTCTAGAGGAGATGTGGTTTAACAACAACTACTTTGCTAGAGGACCCTCCAAATCCAGCATTCCCTCCAGGCTCACCTGTTGTTTGCTGGCCAACCAAGGGCAGGCTCTCCTCCCTGCCGTTGACAGCGATGATGCTGACCACGTACTCAGTGCCTGGCAGCAGGTTGGTGAGGGTGATGGAGTTCCTGGAGGGGGGCACACGGTCCTCCTTGGGCCGGCCGCCGCCCTGCTCCGGCTGGTAGCGGATCCTGTAGCCCGTGATGGTGGCACGAGGAGCGATCCAGTGCACCGTGAAGGAGTTGGCCGTTATATCCGAGAAGTCCAGGCCAGTGGGGGAATCAAGACCTGGGTGTTTCGAGAGACACGAGGCTGAGCTCAACCAAACTGCTTAAGGCATCATCACAGGAAAAGAAAGTAATCAAGTCCCATTAATGAATTCTCAAAGGATGGCATCAAGCACATGTGTGTCCAAGTACCTGTTTTCTGGATTCCATACAAAGGTGCGCTCTCATGCTAGCCCAGAGCAAAAAAGCCTTAATCGTGATGTGTGGGTGAGTGATCTCATATCAATGTTAGTTGAGGATTTTTGTTATTTTAAAGGCTACTAAATGCCTTTATCTGCAGCTACAGCAGGAGTAGGATTAGGCTATACCCAAATCAGGAGCAAGACAACAGTCTTGGCATTAGAAAGTTAGGTTTCCTCAGGATCCCAATCTGACAGTGAAGCACTAGAGTTAAGCCAGCAGTGACCCAACACTATGAGAGCCCAGCAGGATTTCCACTCTGCAGTGAGCTGTTGAGCACTGCATTTATCCCCATCAGCACTTCACAGGCTTCCCCTTCTCCAAATCCACAGTCCCCGCCTGTGCCATGTCAGTTATCATGATACACAAGCCAAGATACACAGCTCCACTGAAACCAGGGATCAGTGATACACGTTTATGGGGAAATGCCAACACAAAGGTATGGGGGTTTTTTTTTGTCTTGTTTGGTTTAATCAGGTCTCACCTGTTCTGTAGGTGACAGTGACTGGCTTGCTGCTGGCAGGGCTGTCTCCACGGCCAGTTACAGCATACACAGTGATGGTGTATTCAACACCAGGCTTGATGCCAGTGATGGTGGCAGTAGACACGGTGCCAGGCACTGTAAACTCCTGTACTGGGCTGCTTCCACCTAGGAAGAGTAGGTTAAGAAAGGCATGTGATGGATCTGTAAAGCATACATTTAAAATCTCTACAAAATGGTCTACAAAATTTAAAATGGTCTACAAAAACCAGGACAGTCCTGTATGCATGAAGCTAAAGACAGGACCCTGTTGATTTCAGTGGCTGTTGGGTCAAAGTTTTTTTTACCATTCCAAGGGAAAGAATGAAATACATACATTGGAATACCCCAGGTGCTCTTTCTTTTGTGTAGACAAAATATGATTTGCTCTTTTTTAAAAAAGGCATTTCAATGTCTGCTAGAGCCCAAGGTGCCTTTGTTATTTGCTTTTTAATGGCCTCAGAATAGAGTTTTTGGTCTGTGGCCAGCTGTAGCACACTCCCCTCACCTGTTTCACCATAAGTGATCCGGTAGTATCTGACTGTCACTGCAGGAGCATCCCAGGAAATCTTGAGGCTGGTTGGGCTGGTAGGGGTGACTTCCAAGTCCCTTGGAACATCAGACACTAGACATCAGACACTAGGGCAACAGAGAATTGAGAAGGGAGTTTAAACACAGTTCTACATCAGCTACATACTGCACTTATACCATGCTCCTCTGCTACTGATCTGTCTGTCCTTTGGCTCAGGGCACACTCCTCTCCAAAAAGACCT